ACAAGCAATGAAGACTCAAATTCTTCCACGATTGAACCTGAAATGGATGGAAGTGAACTAGATTCAAATGTTGATGATGAGACCTCTTTATCAAAAAATGATATTTCAGCTTTACTTAAGCGCCTAAAAACTTTGGAAAGACTTCAAGTTGCTTGTGATAAGGAGGTCAAGAACAAAAAAACTGACACCTTTCCAGATGATATGGATGACGACTCATCCAAAAAAAAGAAAAAAAAAAGTGCTAAAAGAAGGAAAAATTACAAAAAAGAAGATACGTCTAGTTCTGAAACAGAAGATACTGGTGACGAGGTTTCTGTCGCATATTTAAATATTTGCTCATATTTGATATTTGCTAAAATTTGAATTATCCACATAATTTATTTTATATATAATTTAAAGTGGACTCCAATCGAAAAACCGAATGAAGCAACATATGTTGATATCTCTAAAACACTTAAACTTGAAAAACCTCTATATAATAGTTACCGGGTATAATTTTATTGTATAATTATTATTGATAAATAATAATGATTATAATAATTATCAGTATTATTTAATATTATTTAGAAATCACTCCGTTTGATGATAACGGCTAAATATGCAAAACAAACACCTGAATTTCGAAAAATTCCAAAAAATGAAAAAAGCGAGATTATTAGAAAGGCAAACAAAACCACAATTTTAATTACTCTTATTATTGACTGAGTTAAAATAGTTAAACAAAAAACTCTTATTTTAGTTCAAACGAAAAAATCCAAAATTTCCTCCTACAATATGTGATTGGGCCATTAGACGAATGATGCAAGGAATAATAAATAACAAGCGTATCTAAAATTATATTTTACATATATAAAACATGCATATATAAAAAATTAATTATTTTTTAAATAGGTGATACAGAAAAACGCAAATTAAATAATCGTTCACTTCATAACGATAACAAAAAAAGCAAATCAGGTGAAGTACTAATTATCATTTGCTATTGTTAAATTTTTTATATTATTAACTTTATTAATATTTATTAATTAAGTACTAACTGCCGAAATGAGTGATTCTGCACAATCTCTCTTTCGTGCTTCTACTTAATCATATAGACCCGTTCAAGAATTTGCAACTAGTCTTAGGCTTAATGTAAGAGGGTAAAATATTTTATTCATAAAAAAAACTGTAATTTTTTATTGCCATACATATTCAGGTTACCAATCAAGCTCAAGACCTTGAAGCTCCAAGTTCAATAAATAATTTGGATAATACTATTGTGGCATCAACATCCTCTTCTCGTATTCCATTAACTACTATCCAAAATCCAAATATAAATTACCAAATTCAAAATGGAAATTCAAATGATGCTATTGAACTATCGGGCAAATTTAGAAAACCTCAAAATTCTGACCGCACACTGCGTAGTCATGCTTCCAGGTATGCTAAAATATTATTTTAATTTTCTCTAATAATTTTTATATTGCTTTTATTAATCTTTTTGCTGAATTATTAGCCTGTAAGTATAATTACTTTTAAATTAACTTTACACTATTTATATATTAATAATACTTTCACATATTCGCATGACACACTTTCACATGACACATCTTATATTTGCATGACTGATTTTCCTATATTCACATTTTATTTTCACTTGAATCAATTTTTTGTATTAACTTAACCCACTTTCACATATTCAGTTAACTCACTTTCTCATATCCATATGTTGGATTATTTAGCTCGTAAGTATAATCTTCATTGCATTTATCTTAATTAGCTTTTGAAATGCGATATTACATATTTCTATCCATTTCTCTACTGAATTATTAGGGCGTGAGTATCAACTTTATTGTATTGATTACTAAAATAATTCTAAATTGAATTTTTTTTGACTACATCATATTCTGTCGCTGAACTATTAGTAAGTATGTATGAAGATTATTGCATCTATTATTATTTTAAAGATCGTTATTAGTTTTTTTTAATTAATAATAAATTTTTATTAAATTATTACAGTAGAACGTTACCTGCACAAAGTGAAGAAACTAGCCCTGCGAAAACTACAAACACAGAAGACAATACTTTGCCAAATAGGAGACGGTCTTCAAAAGTGTCTAATAAAAAGAATGCTAAGGGTATGACACGATTCAAGTGCAGTAACGATATTAATAAGTAGATTTAATTCTGATTTGTTTTTGTAGGAAAAAAAAAATAATTAGCACACGTATGACTAGACATCCAAAAAAATAATAATTCTGCAATACACATTACAAAGTATTAGATAGCAAATATAATGATGGTTTATGAAATTTATAATATTAGATTAATGTAACATTATTACAATAATAGTACTTTATATTTAGTATACTTTATGTATTAAATTAAAGCAAAATTTGAATATAAGTAGTATTATTCTGTATTACAACAGTAGTAATATTAAAACATATACTAAACAAAATTTTATTCATATTTATAATAAAATTTGCATAATTTTAATATATTCTTTAATAAAATCCGATTAAATATGCAATAAAATTTGTACATAAATAAATAATTATTGTTCGAAAATTCGTTTAAAAAATTGTTCGGAAAATAAACCCCGTTTTGAACATTTTTCTGAACAAAATCATGGACAAAATCTTGAACAAATCCTGAATATACAATTGAACAATTTCTGACTTTTTCAGAATATTTGTTGAACAATTTTTTTTATAGGGTAACGGAATATATCAAATCGAAATAGTTAATTAATATTACTTAAAAACTGTAGTTAAAATGAATACTATATACTGTATCTCCGAATATAAGCAACCTCCAAATTTTAAACTGAAAATTTGGCAAAGGTTATGTTTACTAGTAAAATTGTTTCTGAATATAGGCAAACTCTTCATTTTCGACTCGAAAAATATGTAAAATTGTGTTTGCTTATATTTGAAGATATACGGCAAGTATAAAAACTTTATATTTATATACAATCTAAATTTTTAAAAGGAAAATT